CTCAGACGAGGTCGTTTCACGCTCGCCGACCTAGCTGGGAGCCACCAATGGAACACCAATAGCCACTTTCGATGAAAAGCTGCTAACGCTCAAGTTAGGCCTCCGGCGAACCTTTTGCTGGATTTTCATAGTAACAGCCGTGCCTTTCGCCATCCTAGGCATAGACATTCTTTCAATGCCTCGACAGTATCGTCGAAGCTAGAGGGAAGAAGCTTATTAGCGCTGCGACACAGCTTAGTATTATCAGGACTAGCGCCAACATAGCTTCTATCACTCCCATTCGTGTTCTGCTTCAAGTTTCCCCGCCCTTTATGGAACTTTTAACAAGCATCCCAAACTCATTCCCGTTCCAAGCGACTTGCCTTCTGTGCCGTCAAACGTCACGCAGAAGATTTGCACTAACGGTCCACCTGTTTGGGCCCGCCCACGTAGACTAGCCCGGATGGGCTCAAAACTGCTAAGGTAGCATTCGAGCTACTTCTCGGCGTGGGTATAAGCCGCCCGTCCAAAAGTCCAAAGGCATCAACATTACACATAGTACCGAAGCAATCCGGTGATTGGCGCCCCCTGTGGTGACTACAGGGCACGTAAAACTGTTGCCCTCCCGGATAAATACCCAATTCCGCACATGCACGGCTTAACCGCAACTCTAACTGGTAAGTCTATTTTTAACAAAGTCGCCCTAGTTTGCACCCACCATCAGACTCCTGTGGCGCCAGACGACGTCGATACAACAACAGTCATTTCTCCATTCCGCGCATTCGAATATCTCAGGAAGCCTTACGACCTCAGCGACGCTGCTCAAACTTTTCAGAGTTTCAGACGCTAGGTAACGCGAGGACTCGATGGCGTGTATCTCTGTCTAGAAGTCATTCACATCGACACCTCTTCTGACGATAAACATGTTCATCAGTTCCACGCTCTCTTCCAACGCTTGAAGCAAGATGGGGTTACCGTCAACCCCGCTAAATGCCAGCTTTGCCACAGCTCCATCGACTTCCTTGGTCACAGAATATCCTCCTCGGTTATTGAAGTTCTGCCAGACAACATCCAGGCACTGAAGTACTATCCTGTCCCTAGTTCCTTCAAACCGGTATGCAGATTCAGCCTGGTCCACAGTTATCCACGCTTTATCACGCTTTAATCATATGGCTTCACCAGCTACTGATACATCCTTTTCTAGTGCCAATATCTCTGCTTATAGCAGCTAGTCGCCATAGCCTCAATTCAACTTTGCTGATACCCGGAGCTCTCTAGGAGCTGCTCATTTCTTACAATGTTCATTCTATTTGATTGTTTGCGTCACAGCTCAGCTGTTTGTTGACCTATTCTGTGCCAACGTAGGATCCACTAGTAACTAAATCCTTAATTCGGATTCTATGGCTGGCCGCTTGTCTCACTCCTAGCCCGCCGTTATGTGCCGTTACTTTAGTCGCTTCACTCTTCTTGGCAGTAGTTAGTCATTGTTGGCCCCATGTAAGCTGCAAAGAGCCACTACTTGACTCTCCAGACTTCATTCTCCCCTGAAGTCTGTCTCCTTAATCGGCGCTCGTCTGTTGACTTATTCACTAAAACTGTAGGTATCCAGTAGTGGCCAAACTTCCTAATCATATGGCTACACCAGCCTCTGATACATCCTTTTCTAGAGCCACTATCTTTGCTCAGCAGCAGCTAGTCGCCATAGCCTCAACTCAACATTGCGGATACCCGGAGCTCTCTAGAGGCTGCTCATTTCTTACAATGTTCATTCTCTTTGATTGTTTTCGTCACAGCTCAGCTGTTTGTTGACCTATTCTGCGCCACCGTAAGATCCACTAGTAACTGATGTCTTAATCCAAATTCTGTTGCTGCCATTCATCGCTCTCCTAGCGCGCCGTTATCAGTTGGCCGTCTTACTCGCGTGCAATTTTCTTATTGGCAGTAGCTAGTCGTTGTTGGCTCCATGTAGCCTGCAAGGAGCCACTCCTTGACTCTCCAGACTTCATTCTCCCCTGACGTCTGTCTCCTTAATCGGCGCTCGTCTGTTGACCTATTCATTGAAACTGTAGGTATCCAGTAGTGGTCAGACTTCTTAATCATATGGCTTCACCAGCCGCTGATACATTCTTTTCTAGAGCCACTATCTCTGCTTATAGCAGCTAGTCGCTATAGCCTCAATTCAAAATTGCTGATACCCGGAGCTCTCTAGATGCTGCTCATTTCTTACAATGTTCATTCTCTTTGATTGTTTGCGTCACAGCTCAGCTGTTTGTTGACCTATTCTGTGCCACCGTAGGATCCACTAGTAACTGAAGCCTTAATCCGAATTCTATGGCTGGCCACTTATCTCACTCCTAGCGCGCCGTTCTTCTTAGTCGCTTCACTCTTCTTGGCAGTAGTTAGTCATTGTTGGCCCCCTGTAAGCTGCAAAGAACCACTAATAAATAAATAAATAGGTATATTTCTAGACCTGCTAGAGGCTGCACCCTAAAGGGTTCAGATCAAGGCTTACATGAATCCGGTGCTCTTGCATGGAAGTAGGCAAAATATAAATATATGTTCATCGTTAGAAATTACAAATGCATGGGCACTGTTTGGTATACAGCTATTGGGTCTCAGGCGCCCACCTTGAAGTTTTCTGGTTCCTTCGTGCGATATTGAGCTCCTTGTTATTTTATTGTGAAAAACTTCGCGGAGTTGTGCCTTTTCTCCTTGGAACAGAATCCAATTCGCCACAAGTTCACTTTAAATTGAACGCACAGTAACTGGCCACTCAGTTGCCCCAATTGTTGTTGCGCACATGGAAGAAATGAGTGAAGGGATTATAAGGCATACGCAGTAAAAAAAATCTCGATAAATGCAGACAAGAAGAGAAACAATTTGTTAAGAAAGAAAATATATCTGCGCGCTTCAGTAGAAAAATACCAATTAACAAAAAAATAGGGCCCTGCTTTTCTTACGCTGATATTGCTCTCCGGCGCGAAATTTCAACCTGAGTTGTTCTCAGATAAAAGAAAATGCCTTTCTACAGTTAGAATACCGCTTAAGGTAGCACAAAATTACACTGATCTGGACCAGCTTTAGCGCCTGAATACGTTGAACGTAAAAGCAACACAATACGTGCAGTATTTTGCGAGTTATTTGCAATTAAATGATGGTCTACGAATAAGGCCATTTTTATTTTTCGCTAAAAATGGCTTTCTGCTTTGCAAGCAGATAGCAGAAAAAAGAAAAGAAAACATAAAAAGTAGGGAAGCGGCCTATGATCTAGATGGGCATGGCTATCCAGAACTGCTCTAATTAGCCCGTAATACTCTGCGACAACTACGGGCTGCGCAGGTGGCCGAAAAGTAAACTTTGCAGGCATACATGATAAATATATGCAAATAAGGGATGATTTTGCGCGAAAACGCTAGAAATCCAGCAAGGAATATTATATCTACATGGGAATTCATGGGAGCCTGTAATTAACTCACGGTTAGAAGGCCACAGCATACCGTTTTCAGGGGATACTGAGCCACATAAACAACCAGTAAAATAGAGTTTAGCATTTTTAAGCCTCTAAGCTTTTCTAAAGCTTATAACAAGGCCGCATGATGCAGGTCTACTTGAGTAACCCAGGGGATCTTTCAGATCCGCTGACAGATTTCGGCCTGCAAAATACACACATTACTTAGCTAAACATCACAAGATTTATCCCTTAGAGCCGATTTTCTATATTCATGAGGCTCTGTCACTAACATCAGTGAGCTACAGGAGCCTGTCACCAATAATAAAGAAATAAGCAGGGGAAAATTTAGTAAAATTTAGCTAATTGCATTTGGGCGTGAAATCCGTTTTGGTCTACATTGGTTGGGCTTTAACAGCTCTACTTCCGGTGGTTGAG